TGTTATAGATACTGTGTCTATAGGTACTAATACATTTAGCTTGGTATGTTTGTAATGTGAATTTTTATGAATTTTCAGTATCTTCTCCCGGGCCATATTTTCCCAGAAGAGGTCAGAAGCCGATAGGTCCCAAATCTAACATCCGTCCCCCACGCCCGCAGTTCAACATGATGTTACATTCTAGTCAGATAGAGGCTACCAAGGTACACTACTATCAACAGTTATTTATTTACAAGTATATATATACATGTTGGTGAATCCTAAAAACCAGCAAATCATGAATTTATTAAGTTTTGGGTCCTCATGATGTGTGTTTGTCAATGCAATCCAAGATCCTTCTTCTGTTTGATTTACGATAACATTATTTAGAACATGTTTGATCAGTTTGTTAGATTTGGAATATTACTCTAACAAAAATAATACTACATACATGTGATTCAATCCACTTTAGAGTGGTTAAATCTTGTTACACTTATTTTACAGGGTGTTGATGAGATGTATGATGCTGCTTTAGCGGAGTTTTTCACCCCGTATCACATGTTGGTGGATCTTATCTGCCGAGTAGCTGTTGATCACCAAAGTCTTTCAGAACCTATAATAAACCTAAGTATGTACCGGTAATTTAGTTGATGAAATACACACGTAAAATCAATTTTTAAAAGAGAGGCTAAAAGAGGTACATGTAAAAAGTACTCAGTGATAAATTTTATGTATTGTATCAGTTTTGCAACAGTACATGGTCTTACACTGGCTTTCCTTTTGGACTATCATTAGCAAGTTTTGAACAGATGAGAAATTGCAGATATTATCCATGTAGAGTAAATTAAGATGTTTTCAGAGGTTGATAAGCCTGTTATTTGGTATGACTCTGTATAAACTTATTGTAGGTGCTATGGTTGCCATTGAGGGTCCCCATATTTTGCAAAGTTATGGTTTGAAATCTATCATTCTGAGGTAAGTTACACAAGAATAAAGAAAAACTACATTCTTTTAAAAATAAGTGAATTAATAATAAAGAAAATAGATTGCGACAAAGGTTTTTTATTTTGCTACTTGCATTGATGACGGAAAAAATGTTGATTGTATCCTTAATTAATGCTGTTTGACCTGCGTCTACTGTGAGTCTTTTTTCTGTTGCAGGTTGACCGGTCCTGTATCAGGACTTTATGTAATTGTAGCTACTTTATTGAATATGTGGACTCAGTATTACTTGATGAGAGGTTGTCTCTTAACAACCATAATATCTACTAGTTCTTCTGCAACTTTTTTCCAAAGGTAAACTTATTTCATATCTTTAATTTAAAATACACTCCCTTAGATATAAAGTTCAACAGGCAGAAATCAGAATATTATCTAATCATCTCAAGTGTACTGATGTATTTACACCCCGCTTCGAAAAAGGGAGGGCATATTGCTTTGATGCTGTCTGTTGGTCCACCATCATTTTCCATTCATTTTCTTTGCAGAGGTTGCACATATTCAAATGAAATTTGATATACAGTTTTAACATAAGAATATCTAGGTCAGGTGTTGTTTTGGGTACGATTGAGTCATTTTGGGTAAAGTTATTCCACTTGGACTTCGAAAAATTCCTTTTATAACTCAGTGGTTGCTGTAAATAATAACAACAAAAGCTTAGATCAATTGTGATTCAAAAACCTGGCCCAAATATTAAGTTAAATCTTTGATTTCTTACTGTAGGTTCATCAGCAAGTTTTGAGTGATCAAGGGAGATCCCTACTGGACAGCCTTGTAGCATCTGTTACAGCAGAGAAAGCGGCCATTGAAAATGTTCGTTATGAGAAAGAACTGACAAGCATTTGTCAGAGGGTAAATGGGGTAGGTAGTCTTACTGTGCATGAGCTGTATTGTTTACATAATATGCAATTATTTATTTGTCATAAAATGATTTGGCAATTATACAGTGGAATGATGCTAGGACAGTTTTATTTCCTTGCAAGTATTTGAATGCTTCTAAACTTTCTTAAATTGTTGAATTTGACAGGACTTGAGAGCTATGCTATTGATATTTTCTGTCCAACCACCCAAAAAACTAAATCCTTTGCTGGAAGACAGCCTTCATTACATTCTACAAGTTTGTCGTGACCACCAAAAACAACAGGAGAATGCTCATCAATCCCAGAATTCCCTCAAAAGGTCAACTTCTGACCCAAGTCAGAGTGAAAAAGAGGATGTTAAAGAGCAAGGTAATATTTTCTGACAGCAAGAATATGAATGCTTAAAACATATGTTGACAGCAAGCAGTTAATAAACAGCAAAAAAACTTGTTTGTAAATTGTATACCACTTTAACTTTGAAACCCCTATCCCTCACTTCTTTTCTTAAATTCATGTCCTCGAATACTGCAGATTAAATTTCTACCGGATTAACTGCCAAGAACCTTTACATCTGATTTAATTAGGCAAAATGGATCAATCCTTCTCAGTCACAGAAAATTTTTCTAAATCTGAATGAAATACAGTCAAACTTTGTTATCTCAAACCAGATGGGATGAGATAAAACTTCGAGATAGCAGAGGATTTGAGATATCAAGGGTAAAATACTTTTAGAATACGTAGTTGAGAATTCCACATCACTTCGACATATCCATGGTATTCAAGGTATCAAAGTTTGAGAGACTGAAGTTCAACTGTAGTATGCACCCAGTCATGAATCTCACCTTGGGTCACATTTTCATGAAACGTGTTACATTTTTGCACAATTAGTAGAGTATCAATAGTCAAATAAAACCAATTGAATATAAAAATTTATATTTCCAATAAATTGGCAAGATTTGACAAATTAGTAAATAAATGCTGTTTGATGGAACATTTCATTTTGATTTGAGTGTTTTATAGTACATTTAATGCAGATCTAAATTTTATAAAACAAACTTTTGGAAAACACTTAACAGTGAAAACTCACTTTACACTTTCAGAAACACCTTCTAAGAAGAGATGAATAAGTAAGGATGAAGAAGGTGATGAAAAAGAGACCAAAGTTTCAAAGTCTGAGGATCAGTCTAAAGACCCAAAAGCAGAAAAGTCCCAAGGAGAAGTTTCTGAGACCAACAACAAGAGTGGTAGTGACACTAGTCAAAACAAAGCAGAACCTAGCCAAGAACAGACAGACAAACCAGAGGTCAAAGAGGTCAAGGAGGAAGAACCTTGTACCTCAGGTCAAGGACAGAATGCTGAGTCTGCCGTGTGTGAAGAAACTCCACGAAGGAAAAATGCCACAATGGTGGATATTGTTGCCAAACATATCGAAAGCTTGTTTGCATTGATTGAAAAGAAACAATGAGGAAACATAAACTTTAGATATCACTGCCTGAAAATTACTGTAAAGAATGTGTGTGAAGGAAGTGAAAGCTGTTGTTTTTGAGGACTTGTAGTATTTTAAATCATGAATTAATTGATTGCAAATTCCATGAAAGAGAGACATGTTTTAAGGACTTTATGTGTATGCTCAAATACATGAATGTTACTGGTATATGTATCGGACATAAATTCAATTTGCAATCAAATTTGCAGATTGTTCAGTTAAAAAATGCATCTGCACCATACTTGTTAAACAGCGACCCTGCATAAATTCCTCTCTTACACAGTATGAATTGTTTGAAGACATCTGTCCTGTCTATAAATTGTGACTTGTGCATTTACTTAGGTGTTCTTGACATATTCTACAGGTATAAATGATTATTGATTAGAGAATACAAGGTTGAATGAGAAAACTTGTTCCAATTTTTTTTTATATAATTTAACCAAGTTCTAATACTATAAATCAAATAATTATCTTTTTTGTATAGAAATGGAGACAGGAGTTGGTGTCAGTGCTGATTTTAGTATGTGCAATGTGATATCACTGCCAGATACTCAACAATAATATACATTATATTTTGCTTGGATTATTTCATATCAGCCCAAGACAAATCTTAATTATAAATTAAAAACCACAAAGATCAAATATCTGGGTTATTCACTTTAGAAAGATAAGAAAATAAGATTTATGTTTTAAAAATAAGTCTGTCAAAACTTCTAAACTTGGTGGAAATTGAAGTCAGTAGAAGTACATGTAGTAGAGAAGTCAGTAGAGAAGTTTTTACCCACACTCTTAGGTGCACAGGTACTACAGGCAGTTTGTGACAGAAATTTAAAATCTGTTGCTCTGGGCTATTCATACATGTACAGTGTATTTATGAATTCTCCTGAAAAAAAGACGGAAAAAGGCATAAATTTAGATAAGACAGTAAAAGAGCTGCCTAAAGCAAGTCTACAATCAGGACTTATTGAAAGTGATTCGCTTCTATTTTTGAAAAAAAATCTGCAAGAAAGTTTAATATTTTTTATGTGTACACTACATGTTGTTTTGTGTAATTCACTTTCTTGTGTGATTCATTGTCCACTTGAATAGAGTGGTCACATATGGATCAGTTTAATGTTTATAATTTTATGAGCATAAGGACCACCAATGCATATCTTGAGATTGACACAGAATTATGCAGATCACCTGAAAATTGCAGAATAAGCTAAATCTAGCCAATTCAGAGAATCTGAGTCTACCCCTAAAGGAAAAGAGAAGAGCATGCATGGATCTAGATTGGAGGATGGGGGTACTTTAAGAGGGTTGCCATTGGGCAGTGCCATAGGGAGTTAATTAATAAATTTGTAAAACCTCAAAGTTAAGCCTCTTGACATATCACCCGGAAATGAGAGTTTTATATAGAAAATATGAATTTACAACCTTGACCTCAAATGAGTAGCAGTTTTTTAGATCATAGGGAGTTATGTTGTAAAATTTCATTGCAGAAGCTTCTCACAGAAACAAAGTGTGTTCAGACAGAGAGAATTTATCTTTTGAGCTCAAAATCAATAAGGGGTCTTCTTGAAGCCATTGAAAGTTATGCTAAAATATTAAATTTCATATAGTGCCTTATCTTTTGTAAACTCGAAAGCACTTTACAAAGATATATATAACACGCCAAATTCACAAAAATTAGCTAAACATAGTTTCACAGTTGATAAACTAGGTTTGTCGACTGTAAACTGTAGTTTACAAATAGTTTTCATCTGTAAAACTATATATAACAGTTGTTAACTATAGTTTACGAATGCTAATCTAAGTTTATAATATCTGTCTGTAATAAAACGTTAACTATGGCACGCCAAATTCACAAAAATGAGATAAACCTAGTTTCACATTTGATAAACTAGGTTTATCGACTGTAAACTTTTGTTTACAAACCGTAAACTATAGTTAACGATTCGTTAAGTATAGTTTTCATCTGTAAAACTATATTTAACGGTTGTTAACTATAGTTTACGAATGATAATCTAAGTTTATCTGTCTGTAATAAGCGTTAACAATTGATTTTGTTGATAAACATATATGATAAATATATATATTCAAAATTTTTTTTTTTTTTTTTGGAGTCAGAAGTATCCTGCATTCTCCACTTCGGTTACTATGGCAACAAATCCTATAATGTTATTCTCCAAGTGTTTTCACAACATTGTCTTAAATAACTTAAAGAGACTATAAGGCTTATAAATTTCTGACCACTGTTTTGTAAGCTTCACAGGATACTTGAAACATTTCTTGTTTATATTTGGCTTTTTAGACCCCCCAAAGTTCATATCTATTTTTATTGAAAGTTGCATTTAAATAATTCAGAACTACTGGTTTGTGTTAATTAGTGTCCACTTCTTTCGCTCTTCCTTTCAGTCAAGCTTGCAAACTTTAACAGGATCTGAACGTCAACTGGCTTTACTCAGATGCTGAAATCTTGTATGCAGACACACTTAACTCAAATTTTGATTTCTAAATACATTAGATATACACTTACCGGCATTGTCACAATCCATTTCCCTAAAATCGTGTTTAACTTTAATGTATTTAGGCTGTTTAAAATTAAAACTACGTTTAACGTCACCCGCGCGCGTAGGTTTATGAGAAATTCGTCTTTGAAAAAAACAAACAATTCGGAATTCCGTATGTCCGTTCCGGTTTGGTTCTTCAATTAGCGACTGAATTCTGCTTCCCGTAGTGACAGAAAATGTGCTTGGATAGCCGCAGTTAAGGCAGTTGGTGTCTTATTAATGAAAACTAGAGAATTAAAGAGTTTGGGACCATAAATGTAAGTAAAAAATAGATTATTTTATGATTATATTAATGACAAAGTCTTGTTTGTTGATTTTTTTTTGTCAGTCTTCGAATCATATGTACAGACTGACAGTGACAGACTCTCAGTTCGTGATTCTATTGGCTGAACTTTTCATTGTATTTTGGAGAGAATCGAAAAACTTTTTTTACTGAGTGGAAACTGTGTCAAAAACCAAGATTTATATACAGTGAAAAGCATCATTTAAATCTTACTAATATGTTTCATATTAAAAATATTTCTGTAAAAATCGAAAGGAACAGTAATGAGTAAAGTAATTGATTTCTTCATAATTTATGTACCTACAAATAGCTACAATTTTTGGGAAAGATAATATACTTGTCATTACCATTTGAGCAGGGAGAAGCTTACCGAAGATATGGCCTTTCAAGTGAAGGAGAGCAAGGAAAGTGGTTGGGGTATTCCAAGATGTGAAGAATCCTGTCTTTTGTGTGGAATTCAAGGTATTAAAGATAATCTAACAACTATCATTATGGTCCAAATATTAGTATTCACACTTTCAAAACTTAATGCTAGTAGATCTAGTACTAAGAAAAAATATGACATAATTCAATTTGAGGATATTTCAACATGAACACTTTTAAATATTGTCATCAATAATTTTGATTGTAGATATTGATCAACTTTTCCCACAAGAAGAAGCATTTGCCTCCAGGGTACCATGGACGTGTGGCAATATAAATCCAAAGGACAACTGAGGCCTAGTTAAAAGCCACTTTCCTGCACATTCAGTCTCAGACTACATTGTTTGCTAACAATAGGACTCAAACTGATTTACATACTAAGGAAAAACTCTGCTAGGGAAATTAATCTTAGGTGTCATATCAATTAAATGCTCTTATTACTTAATTGTAATGTTTTTAATGTACTGAATAGGTTGATTTGAATAAATTCACAATTGTTTGAAAATTTTGTTTGTTTATTTTTTTCCTCCCTCCCTCGTAGGTTTTGAACTTTAGATGTGACGTTAAACGTAGAATTAACTTTAAACAGCCTTATGTAATCCTTTGACTAAGAGAAATCTCAGATCCTCTTTACATTATAATTTAGTTCAAACTCTCTAATTATTCTTTATTAATATATGAAAACAAGACAGCAATTTCTGGTCTGGATATTTTTCATCATCACACCCTGTACAATATTTAGGGTATCGTTATTTTTAGTAAAAGTTTACAACAAATTTTTGCTTCATTAAGTTAGCTGAAATTATGACATCATTGATTTAATCGTCAGTTACTTAATGGTATATACATGTATCACAATTTTCCCGAAACTTTGCAATATCATAATTTTAGATCAATATGCTTACCAGATTATGCCCATTTAGATGCGTGACATATATTGTGAAACACCCTGTACATCCCTTACTGAAAATATTGCCTTCCTGCAAATATTTGCTGCAAGTCTGCAGCATTGCTGCAAGCTTGCAGCAGACATTGCTGCAAGCTTGCGGCAATGTAGCCAAAGAAAGCATGACAAACTATACAAAGCCTTGGTGTTTGCAGCAAATTAGCGGCAAGTCTGCAGCAAGTTTGTTGCAAACATTTTACCATGCAAATGAGGTTTGCTGCAAGTCTGCAGCAAACATTGGATTTTCCAAATAAGGAAACCTTGCTGCAAGCTTGCGGCAAACATTGCTGCAAGCCTGCCGCAGGAACCCAACATGTTTGCAGGAACATTGCAAGTGTAATGGTTAGGGCCGTGGATATCGGCCTGGATAGCTCAGTTGGTAGAGCACCTGACTAGAGATACAGGGGTCCCGGGTTCGATTCCCGGTCCAGCCATGCATTTTCTCCTTTCCTGTTACAGATTTGGTGCCGTTGACCACCCCTGGAATTGCAGGTGAAAGTCCTGCCAGGGGCAATAAGAACTTGGGTTGTGTCTTCGAGGGCGAAGACCATTTAAGGAGGGAGGAATGTAATGGTTTGGGCCGTGGATATCGGCCTGGATAGCTCAGTTGGTAGAGCACCTGACTAGAGATACAGGGGTCCCGGGTTCGATTCCCGGTTCAGCCATGCATTTTCTCCTTTCCTGTTACACAAGAAACATACACGCCGATCTAATGTTCACAGCAAGTTCGCAGGAAACATTTCATTATTCAAATGTTTGCAGGAAGTTCGCAAGAACAGTAAACAAGTCAAATCAGCCAATGAAACGCAGATTGTACTGGGGTCAACACAAAACTGGCCATTTTGAAATGTTGAAATTGAAGTTGTACACGTTTCAGTATTTTGTTACGAATACTTTACATCGTTTTGAATGATTAAAAGTGCCAAACTCTGGATGTAGGTGTTCATTCTATCCATGATATCTAATTGGTAAGAAATGATTTTGATTTATTTGGATATTTGAAAGAATATTTCTTAAAAGCATGTTTGAGTAACTGGTGTAAATGCTAGGTCAAATCGAAATCTGTTTCTTATGAATTTCAGTCCTCTTTTTGATATCACATATGTATACCTCTTAAAAGTATTAATGGACCCAAATCAGTTAAATGTTATCAAATTAATTAGTAAATGTGTAATCATGGAAATATTCATTAAAATCATATGTAAAGTTCTGTTCATATAAAAAGCTATCATGCACTTTAATTTTGAAAAAGTATGAAAACTTTGTCTAGGAACGTAAAGAGGGCCTATCATAACTTCATAAAATTGCATCATTTAAGAAACATGTGGTGGATTTTCTCTAAACTTAACAGATTTAGGTCATGACAAAGGCTTTCTGTGAACTTGCTGCTTGTACAAAGGAATGTGCCAAACCATAAGGAAATTGTTTGCTGCAAGTTAGCAGCAATGTATGCTGCAAGCTTGCTGCAATGTTTGCGGCAGGCTTGCAGCAATGTTTGCTGCAAGCTTGCAGCAATATTTGCGGCAGGCTTGCAGCAATGTTTGCCGCAAGCTTGCAGCAAGGTTTCCTTATTTGGAAAATCCAATGTTTGCTGCAGACTTGCAGCAAACCTCATTTGCATGGTAAAATGTTTGCAACAAACTTGCTGCAGACTTGCCGCTAATTTGCTGCAAACACCAAGGCTTTGTATAGTTTGTCATGCTTTCTTTGGCTACATTGCCGCAAGCTTGCAGCAATGTCTGCTGCAAGCTTGCAGCAATGCTGCAGACTTGCAGCAAATATTTGCAGGAAGGCAATATTTTCAGTAAGGGATGTACAGGGTGTTTCACAATATATGTCACGCATCTAAATGGGCATAATCTGGTAAGCATATTGATCTAAAATTATGATATTGCAAAGTTTCGGGAAAATTGTGATACATGTATATACCATTAAGTAACTGACGATTAAATCAATGATGTCATAATTTCAGCTGTTCTCCAATTGGGTACAACTTAATGAAGCAAAAATTTGTTGTAAACTTTTACTAAAAATAACGATACCCTAAATATTGTACAGGGTGTGATGATGAAAAATATCCAGACCAGAAATTGCTGTCTTGTTTTCATATATTAATAAAGAATAATTAGAGAGTTTGAACTAAATTATAATGTAAAGAGGATCTGAGATTTCTCTTAGTCAAAGGATTACATAAGGCTGTTTAAAGTTAATTCTACGTTTAACGTCACATCTAAAGTTCAAAACCTACGAGGGAGGGAGGAAAAAAATAAACAAACAAAATTTTCAAACAATTGTGAATTTATTCAAATCAACCTATTCAGTACATTAAAAACATTACAATTAAGTAATAAGAGCATTTAATTGATATGACACCTAAGATTAATTTCCCTAGCAGAGTTTTTCCTTAGTATGTAAATCAGTTTGAGTCCTATTGTTAGCAAACAATGTAGTCTGAGACTGAATGTGCAGGAAAGTGGCTTTTAACTAGGCCTCAGTTGTCCTTTGGATTTATATTGCCACACGTCCATGGTACCCTGGAGGCAAATGCTTCTTCTTGTGGGAAAAGTTGATCAATATCTACAATCAAAATTATTGATGACAATATTTAAAAGTGTTCATGTTGAAATATCCTCAAATTGAATTATGTCATATTTTTTCTTAGTACTAGATCTACTAGCATTAAGTTTTGAAAGTGTGAATACTAATATTTGGACCATAATGATAGTTGTTAGATTATCTTTAATACCTTGAATTCCACACAAAAGACAGGATTCTTCACATCTTGGAATACCCCAACCACTTTCCTTACTCTCCTTCACTTGAAAGGCCATATCTTCGGTAAGCTTCTCCCTGCTCAAATGGTAATGACAAGTATATTATCTTTCCCAAAAATTGTAGCTATTTGTAGGTACATAAATTATGAAGAAATCAATTACTTTACTCATTACTGTTCCTTTCGATTTTTACAGAAATATTTTTAATATGAAACATATTAGTAAGATTTAAATGATGCTTTTCACTGTATATAAATCTTGGTTTTTGACACAGTTTCCACTCAGTAAAAAAAGTTTTTCGATTCTCTCCAAAATACAATGAAAAGTTCAGCCAATAGAATCACGAACTGAGAGTCTGTCACTGTCAGTCTGACACATGATTCGAAGACCGACACAAAAAAATTAAAAAACAAGACTTTGTCATTAATATAATCATAAAATAATCTATTTTTTACTTACATTTATGGTCCTAAACTCTTTAATTCTGTAGTTTTCATTAATAAGACACCAACTGCCTTAACTGCGGCTATCCAAGCACATTTTCTGTCACTACGGGAAGCAGAATTCAGTCGCTAATTGAAGAACCAAACCGGAACGGACATACGGAATTCCGAATTGTTTGTTTTTTTCAAAGACGAATTTCTCATAAACCTACGCGCGCGGGTGACGTTAAACGTAGTTTTAATTTTAAACAGCCTAAATACATTAAAGTTAAACACGATTTTAGGGAAATGGATTGTGACAATGCCGGTAAGTGTATATCTAATGTATTTAGAAATCAAAATTTGAGTTAAGTGTGTCTGCATACAAGATTTCAGCATCTGAGTAAAGCCAGTTGACGTTCAGATCCTGTTAAAGTTTGCAAGCTTGACTGAAAGGAAGAGCGAAAGAAGTGGACACTAATTAACACAAACCAGTAGTTCTGAATTATTTAAATGCAACTTTCAATAAAAATAGATATGAACTTTGGGGGGTCTAAAAAGCCAAATATAAACAAGAAATGTTTCAAGTATCCTGTGAAGCTTACAAAACAGTGGTCAGAAATTTATAAGCCTTATAGTCTCTTTAAGTTATTTAAGACAATGTTGTGAAAACACTTGGAGAATAACATTATAGGATTTGTTGCCATAGTAACCGAAGTGGAGAATGCAGGATACTTCTGACTCCAAAAAAAAAAAAAAAAAAATTTTGAATATATATATTTATCATATATGTTTATCAACAAAATCAATTGTTAACGCTTATTACAGACAGATAAACTTAGATTATCATTCGTAAACTATAGTTAACAACCGTTAAATATAGTTTTACAGATGAAAACTATACTTAACGAATCGTTAACTATAGTTTACGGTTTGTAAACAAAAGTTTACAGTCGATAAACCTAGTTTATCAAATGTGAAACTAGGTTTATCTCATTTTTGTGAATTTGGCGTGCCATAGTTAACGTTTTATTACAGACAGATATTATAAACTTAGATTAGCATTCGTAAACTATAGTTAACAACTGTTATATATAGTTTTACAGATGAAAACTATTTGTAAACTACAGTTTACAGTCGACAAACCTAGTTTATCAACTGTGAAACTATGTTTAGCTAATTTTTGTGAATTTGGCGTGTTATATATATCTTTGTAAAGTGCTTTCGAGTTTACAAAAGATAAGGCACTATATGAAATTTAATATTTTAGCATAACTTTCAATGGCTTCAAGAAGACCCCTTATTGATTTTGAGCTCAAAAGATAAATTCTCTCTGTCTGAACACACTTTGT